TGTGTCTTCTCCAAAAATCCCTTTACAGGATCAAGCAGGCACCTTGTCTATGGCAGCAGTATCTCCATTCCGTTCTCATCGAGCTCGGCTTCACTCAGCTGCCGCACGACCTCGGAATGTACAGACAGGAATCGTGCGGCAAATTCATCCTCCTCGTCGCCTACGTCAACGATCTCCTCTACACCGGCGACGACACGGAGCTACTGGACCAGTTCGAGGCCGATATCAAGGAGAAGCTCGAAGTTGTTAGATTCTAAGGACGGAGTCTACGAAGATTAGGAGCCTAAATTTCTCAAAATCGTTGGGCCTAGTTTCTGGACAAAAAAGTCGACTCCACAAGAAACGTCGTCGACGAAATGTGCACCGTTAGAATTATCTCGGACTCGAGTATGCTATAGCCCTTGACCGAGGCTATCATGCCCAATTTGAATCGTGTCAAAGGATAAAGTAAATCTCGAGTTATGATTTTCGGGATATCTCAATCACAAGAGTATCACACGTTCTCACAAGTAACACACAAGAGAATTCGAGCAGCTAGGTTAAACCAGGTGGGAGGGAAGAGGAGGACGAGAGGGAAGGTCCCAAGGGAGTCCCCAACCAAGGAAACCCCATACCACACAATTCCCTTCCCCATAGGCAACCCAACTTTGACCTTTGTCACTATCCCAACCTCCACAATCCACCTCAACCCAACTTGGCCACACTTGCCAACCTGGTTTGGCTTTTCCCAACCACATGGCAGCATCTACAGTGATGGGTTCGAATTTCCCAACCCCCAAAAGTCTATACCCCTTATGGAGTCATTCCCACAACTTCCCATAGTCGCCACAACCAAACATAAAAAGCATACGAACTTAGAAAGTTCGTAACTTTCTCGATCGTCTTCCGATTGAAGCGATCCTTGGTTCGTCGGAAAGCACTCGAGCAGAAGCAGAGCAGTCACTTCAGATATCTGCTCAAGTCAAATAACATTTACAAACACTCAGAAAATACAAACCACACCAAACGCAAATTTCTTGCACATGCTCACACCACGCATGCAACGCACGAACATATGATGGGAGGCAGACAGGCGTGAATGCGAATGATAGCACCACACAACAGAAGTGACGGTCAACCACGACGTCACACAGTTCCTGGGCCTCAATGTGACTCAGTCGGCCTCCTCCTCCATTCACCTCTCCGCCGCCAAATACGCCGAAACCCTCGCGAAGCGGTTCGCCATAGCACCAATCAACCTCACCACTCCTTGCCGCACTCCTCCTCCTAACTTCGAGCCGGACACCACACCTCTCTATTCCGACGATCATCGTCTCTATTAGCAGCAGTTGGGGTGTCTCCTTTTTGCTGCCGTCACGTGCCGACCCAATCTCTCCTAGGTCACAAGCCAGCTCGCACAGTACCTGAAGCGACCTGAAGGGGAGAATCTACTGGATCTACGCCGAGCACTGCAATACTTCATCTCCACTCCCGACGTCGGTCTCACCTACGAAGCTAACCTCACCGCTACCCTACAGCTTCATGGCTACGTAGACGCTGACCATGCAGGTTGGTGTTGGAAAATGAATCCTGACAACAGACGCTCTCACACAGGATTCATTTTCCAACTCCAACCTGCTGGACTCATCTCCTGGAACTCTCAGAAGCAAGAACTCATCGCCCTTTTGTCAGCTGAAGCAGAATTTATCGCAGCCAGCGCAGCCGTTCGCGAAGGACTATACATGATGGAACTCCTGCAAGAAGCGAAAGTGACAATGAATGGGCACTTCGCATTACTCTGCGACAATCAGAGCGCGATAAAGATCGCGAAAAAAACTCGGCTTCGTCAACCGCACCAAGCATATCGCCCCTTCGCTACTTCTTCGTGAAGGACGAAATCGACAAGGGGAGAGTCAAACTCACGTACTGCCCAACCGGTGACATGGCAGCTGATTTCCTGACAAAGAAACAGCCACGTCAGCAATACCAGCGTTGCGCCAACCTCTGCGGGATCACCAAGAAATCCCACGTGGCCCACCTTCAGGAATGAAGGGGAGTGTTGGAATAACCGAAAGGTTACATAAGCATTCCCGAAGGCATTCCACTGTACCAGTACCGCAATAGCTCATATAGAGCATGCGGAAGGTCGAGGGTCACCCGAAGGTCAACCGTCAAGGACATGCAACAGTCGTGACCCTTGACCATCCAGTAGCTGCGCGACAGTTGTTCGGTGCAACGTGGTAACTGTCGAGAATAGCAATAGTCGTGGTTACTGTAGCTATGTAATACAGTTAATAAGGGAATGTACCCCTCAGAGTACATGGCTAGCTAGTTTGCTATTTAACCTCTTGTATTCCTATCTCATAATCATCTTGTTCTCAGTCTCCTCTCAAACTTAGCAGTCTTATCCTATCTACTGGATCCTTTGGTTATATCAGCAGTTTTACTGCGCACTCTGCAAGTTCATTCGTAACAATTAGTTTGCCATAAGTTGCCTAATCCATGGGTCGCATGCTTTGTCTAGTTGTCAGAAGGGTTTCCATGACTATTCGGCAACAGTGCAAGTGCAAAAGCTATTGAAATTTGGCAAGTCAAATCTAATAATCTTTGCAGCAGTAGTTTTACAGCTCATCGTGCCAATCAGACCCGTGCTACTAAACTACCATAAAAATGCTGGGTGAACTAGGAAAATTGATCTGATGCATGATGTTTGGAGTTGTAATACAGAGTTGCGCGAAAAGGGAATATCGAAGCAGTGACTATATGGATTGACGATACAATGAAGAACGTGACACAATATAATGACTACCCCAGCTAGGCGAAAACCTCGGGCACGCAAGGTGGGGTGCAAGTTGGCAAAGGGAAAACCAAAGGCGAGGCAGGGCATCCTCGCATCGCTCATGTCGGCCGAGTGTGCGAGTCCGAAAGTGGGGAATGTACGCGGAAGAGGCAACCCTGATTTAGGAAAAGAGTGTTGCATAAAAAGCACTCGTAACAGTTTGGTACCCGATATGGAGGTGCTGAGTAAGGAATCCGGAAATTTTCTTACAACCGGGTATGCTCGTTCTTTTCTCCTTCGCGCCTTTTGCGTTGAAACGCGTTCGTAGCACTCCGCGGCAAGAAAATGTAGGACTAACGAAATCGATCAAACTGAGGGTTACGCATGTCGTAAGTGTCGAACAGCTTTCTAGCTTTCTTGTCAGGCGAAAAGCGGAATCGTTGGCGTTCAAGTTTTCGCTGCTCTTGTCCATGTGACGCGTCCGTGCCATCCATCCGCTGCACCCTCGCCAATGCTTCCGCCCTTCATGATGATATCCATCGCCCCCCTCCTCCGTTCCCCTCCCCCTATTGCCTTCCTCCACCGCGTTCCACCATCGACCTCCGCGCATCCCGCTCTGTTCATCGAGCACCGTCTATCGCGCTCCGCGCGCACACCAATTCGCGCATGGCTCGAGCAAATGCGCCTCGCCGCCGGCGACGGTCGTTAATGAAGCGCGCGCGCTGCTGCGCCACCTCGTCGTGCCCTGCCGCTCCGCCCACGATCCCCATGCATTATTGCCGGCACCCGCCGCGCATTGTGTTGAACCCTTCGCCGCTCGCTCTCGCCACTCGCTCTCAGCGCATAAATCGCCCCTCTTTCCGAAGCTCTCATAAGTCGCCTCCCCTTCTTCTCGTTCCCCGTCACCGCCTCGATTCTCTCGCCATCCTGTCCATCACCGCCATCCTGTCCATCCTCGCCATCTCCATCCCCCTGTCGCTCGCACCTTGCTCATTCCGCCCGATCGCTCGCAAGCACCAGTGATCGTCGCCGGCCCTACATCGTTTCGATCTTTTCCCGCGACTCGAGCTTCGAGGTTGAAGGCCCTTCGCCGTGTGCCGTCGCGATGGCTCGCTGCGGCCGGCCGTCTGTCGCTGGGCTCGTCGCACTCGTCGCCGGGCTCGCTGCGATCAGCCTCCTCGCGACGCACGCCAGCGCAGGTGAACTCTCTTGCTTCTCGCGAGCGTTCTGCTAAGGCGTTGCAAGACGCTTCTTCGCGCAAGACCGTGCTTCCAACAGCCAGTACTCACACGCACCCACACCCAACGCGCGCTCACTCACGCGGCTCACCCTCTTTGCGTCAACCTCAATGCCCTGTGAGGGCTCGGACCTAGAGGCAACCTGTGTCTACCTTGCAACAACCCGCGATTCGGCCATCAGATATGTGTGGCGATACGGAGTGCGGGCGTGCTGCTTGGTGCCTGATCGCCCCGGATGGCAGCACGGAGTGCCTGTGCGATGTGAAAGGCTACGCCTTCAACGCCACGGACCACACATGCACTGGTGGGTGGGTGCTGCGAGTGTGCGTGCGTGAGTGCACGTATGGAGGTGAGCCCACGGCTGCGTGGATCGGATGCCCTCAATGACCTGTGCTGTTAGATGGCGTGCAGTGAGGTGCCCCGACTATGAAGTTTGCCCAAATAAAGTGTAGGCGCCACGTGTGCATGACATGGCATCGAAATGAGGAAGTGTGGACGAATCCTAAACCCTTCTCTCCTCTCTTCTTCGTTCCCCTCCTCACCCCGCCATGCCCATGGCAGATCCGTGCCCATCAGTGCAGTGTCCCGAGAGGGCAACGTGCTTCCCAAGGGACGGAAAGGGCGTGTGCGAGTGCGAGCAGGGCTACATCATGCAGAACGGCACCTGCACGGGTGAGCTGCATTGATGAGCTGCTGCCACCTCCTTTTTAGGAAAGCCCATTTTCTCCCATTTGACGTTTCAACTGTTGTATTGCCTGCGGGGCAGCCCTGAGAGGCAGCCAGAGACACTTCGCCCCTCAGCCAGGTTCTCTTCTGCCCCTCATTTTCCCCCAAACCCCCGCCCGCCTCCCTTCACCGCTTGACTCTGCATTCCGCTTCCTTCCCCCTGTGCTACAACGACTCGACGGCATTGAACCCTCTCACCAGACGGCTTGCTGCAGACGAGGGTTGTGGTGGAGGGCCGCGATGACTTGGCTCTGCTCACGTTCGAGAGCCCCGTGCCCATGGCGCAGGCCACGGGCGCCACCGCGTGCAGCAACGTGAGCGAGGTGGGCGGCAGCAGCACGCGGATCAGCGTGGAGTGGACGTCCATTGACGTGGACACGGCAGGCGACGGCATGTGCAAGAGCGTCTCCTTTCATGCCGACCCCGGCTGTGCCGACAAGCCCGGTCTCACCATCACCCGCCCCGCTGTGACCAAGATGGGCGGCTTCTTCCCCATCACGGATCGGTGAGCCACAGTGGTGTGCCACGGGCAGTGTGGTTTCGTCTGCTGTGCCTCTACCATTCCCGTGTGGTTTCGTCTGCTGTGCCTCTACCATTCTCGTGTGGTTTCGTCTGCTGTGCCTCTACCATTCCCGTGTGGTTTCGTCTGCTGTGCCTCTACCATTCCCGTGTGGTTTCGTCTGCTGTGCCTCTACCATTCCCGTGTGGTTTCGTCTGCTGTGCCTCTACCATTCCCGTGTGGTTTCGTCTGCTGTGCCTCTACCATTCCCGTGTGGTTTCGTCTGCTGTGCCTCTACCATTCCCGTGTGGTTTCGTCTGCTGTGCCTCTACCATTCCCGTGTGGTTTCGTCTGCTGTGCCTCTACCATTCCCGTGTGGTTTCGTCTGCTGTGCCTCTACCATTCCCGTGTGGTTTCGTCTGCTGTGCCTCTACCATTCCCGTGTGGTTTCGTCTGCTGTGCCTCTACCATTCCCGTGTGGTTTCGTCTGCTGTGCCTCTACCATTCCCGTGTGGTTTCGTCTGCTGTGCCTCTACCATTCTCGTGTGGTTTCGTCTGCTGTGCCTCTACCATTCCCGTGTGGTTTCGTCTGCTGTGCCTCTACCATTCCCGTGTGGTTTCGTCTGCTGTGCCTCTACCATTCCCGTGTGGTTTCGTCTGCTGTGCCTCTACCATTCCCGTGTGGTTTCGTCTGCTGTGCCTCTACCATTCCCGTGTGGTTTCGTCTGCTGTGCCTCTACCATTCCCGTGTGGTTTCGTCTGCTGTGCCTCTACCATTCCCGTGTGGTTTCGTCTGCTGTGCCTCTACCATTCCCGTGTGGTTTCGTCTGCTGTGCCTCTACCATTCCCGTGTGGTTTCGTCTGCTGTGCCTCTACCATTCCCGTGTGGTTTCGTCTGCTGTGCCTCTACCATTCCCGTGTGGTTTCGTCTGCTGTGCCTCTACCATTCCCGTGTGGTTTCGTCTGCTGTGCCTCTACCATTCCCGTGTGGTTTCGTCTGCTGTGCCTCTACCATTCCCGTGTGGTTTCGTCTGCTGTGCCTCTACCATTCCCATGTGGTTTCGTCTGCTGTGCCTCTACCATTCCCGTGTGGTCGCCACAAGTAACACGCTCGTCTGTGCTCTGCCCTGCACTCACTTGCCACTCTCAGGACCGTGAAAGCAGCCCCGCCGCAATCAATCAGCTGCGAGATCAGTAAGTGGGAGCGCAGAAACTTGTTTCATTCGTCCGGGCCGCATACGCATAGCCCCAGAAGTATGTTTGCCGTCTCTCTGAGAGCATGAGGTGCACAGCACTGCACGTTGCAGAGGAGGTTCAAGCATCGCAGGATGGGTGAGCCAGTTGGACACGCAACCACAGCTCTCTGCATTTGGTGCATTCTTTGCCTTCCCCTGCCATGCATGCCTTGCTTTACTGACCCCTTTCACCTATTCCCCCAATATGCTTGGCCGTGTGCCCCTCGCTGCTGTCAACATCAGCCACGTGTCACAAGGACTGCGGCAGTGCAGAGTGCGTGGTGAGGGGCGGCGTGTCTGAGTGCAAGTGCCCCTGGAGCCAGGTTTTTTATGAGGCTCTCAAGCGCTGCACCAGCAAGTCGCCCACCACGGGTACGTGTGTCTGTCTCTCACCACTCGATTGTGTCATAGTCTGCTCGTGCACGTACCCAACCACAAAATGCTATCCCATCTGCCGTCTTGTATGAAGGCAAAGAGATATCCTTCCGTGGTCACCAGCAGTACGTCTCACCCCTTCCCTCCCCCACCTACGGCAGACCCAGACCCCAGTGGAGGCGCGGACCCGTGTGAGGCAGTGAAGTGCGCGAGGAACTCACAGTGCGTGGTGAGGAAGGGACAGCCCGCGTGCGAGTGTGATGCCGGCTACACCAAGACCAGCAAGGGCCTCTGCACTGGTGAGACCAGCAAGGGCCTCTGCACTGGTGAGACCAGCAAGGGCCTCTGCACTGGTGAGCCCTGCAAGGGCCTCTGCACTGGTGAGCCCAGCAAGGGCCTCTGCACTGGTGAGCCCAGCAAGGGCCTCTGCACTGGTGAGCCCAGCAAGGGCCTCTGCACTGGTGAGCCCAGCAAGGGCCTCTGCACTGGTGAGCCCAGCAAGGGCCTCTGCACTGGTGAGCCCAGCAAGGGCCTCTGCACTGGTGAGCCCAGCAAGGGCCTCTGCACTGGTGAGCCCAGCAAGGGCCTCTGCACTGGTGAGCCCAGCAAGGGCCTCTGCACTGGTGAGCCCAGCAAGGGCCTCTGCACTGGTGAGCCCAGCAAGGGCCTCTGCACTGGTGAGCCCAGCAAGGGCCTTTGCTGCTCCTTATTCCGTTTTTAAAGCACGAGCTCTAGATGCAGCACACGAAATCACAATGCTTCATGTCAGTCCAGCTTGCGAGTTTGCTATTCTGTCGCGTCATCTTCACCCTCACATGGACGCTCCTTCCTCCTCCGCGTCTGCTGTTCCACTCAGTCGTGCTCTTGCTCCTCTCCGCCACGCACCACCTCCCACCACACCAGCCATGTGCAAGCCGGGCTGCCCTGCCAATGGTCAGTGCATGGTGCTGGGAGGGAAGCCCCTGTGTCGCTGCAAGGCGGGCTTCCGACAGTACGAGAACGAATGCATTCGTAAGGGCGAGCTTGCGAGGGAGAGCCAACCCCTGTAGTATCTCGCTCGTATTCCTACCCCTCCACTGCTCAATCTCGTTCCTCTCTCATCATGATGTCGCGAGGAGAGCTGGTGCCTCGTGCCACCATGGATCGTTCTCACTCCTCTCCTTCATCCTTCATGCCATCATGCTGTCTTCCGTCTCTCCTCTCACCCTCCAACTTTCCCATCTCTCGCGCGGCCCACCCACCTGGCAGCGGTGTGCAAGCCGCTCTGCGGGGGCAATGCGCAGTGCGTGGCGGTCAATGGCAAGCCGGCGTGTCAGTGCATCACGGGCTTCCAGATGACCGGCAACAAGTGCACACGTAAGAGCAAGGGCACATGTGTCAATGAAGCTTTTTTCATCTGTGCTCGCTGCGCTATAGTGTGATCCCATCGGCTCTTCCCCGCTCATCCTCCCTTCTTCCATATCTCTCTCGCCCCACCCACTTGACAGCCGTGTGCAAGCCTAGCTGCACGGCCAATGCGCAGTGCGTGGCGGTGAAAGGGACGCCAATGTGTCAGTGCAACACGGGGTTCAAGATGATTGGCAACAAATGCACACGTAAGAGTGGGGGGACAAGTTTGTTCCAGCAAAGCCCATGTGCTTCCCTCTCTCCCACAACCTCCACCACCCATTTCCTCACATATTAACAGTTATTGTTCACAACAATTGTGCTTTCTGCGCGCTCACTGCTTATATCCTCCTCATTTCCATTCTTCCCATCTCTCGCACCCACTCCTCCCACCTGACAGCCGTGTGCAGGCCTGCCTGCGGTGCCAATGCCCAGTGCATGGCAGTGAGAGGGAAGCCAGCGTGCCAGTGCAATGCGGGGTTCCAGCTGGTCAACAGCAAGTGCACACGTAAGAGCTAGGGAGGAAACAGTGGGCTCCTTCGCATGCTCAGCGCCAATTGACTCCTTGCACTTCCCTCTCTCGCCCTCTACCACAACAGCTTTGCATCCTACTGTCTTGCACCTTAACATAGTCCACCCACCGTCCACGTATTCTTCTTACTTGATATCTTTTCTTTTCGTTAAACTTCATTCTTCCAACCCCAAAGGCATTCCCCGAAGTCTCATACTGCTGTGCTCTTTCAACCCATCCATCCACCCACCCAGCAAAATAAGCTGGTTACTCTCGAAGGCAATTAAAATCAAGGCTTGAAGGGGCAGTGCTACTTAATAACGGAGTAGAGGTGTGAGCGAATGCATGCTGTTGCTCAGGAGGCAGGATTTAGCGCTGTGTGTAGGTGCTTGCGCTGGTGTATTCTCTGTGTGTTGTGTGCTGATGCTTGTACTTGTACGGTACCATATATTCTCTTGGTTATGTTCTTTGTTTCTAGTCTAGTGCTTCATCATTCCACATCTTGCTTGGGAACAATGCTGTGTAATCTGGATGAACGATTATGCAAATGACAAAGTGAAAAAGGTTAGTGATAGCTAGCTTGTTATGACTTCAATATACTAGCCTTGTTGTACGCTAGTCTACCTGGGTCAAAGCAACTTGAAATCCTGGAGTTTGGCTACGTTTGTTCTAGTACCGTAACATACTGTATAAAAGAACGCTTTAATACAAAAACACTATATGGTTGTACGGTATGTTGATATGAGAATGTGTACACTGAGGGCATGTTCCTACTGTTGGGTTGAGAAAAGCCCTTATGATCTTTGAAAGGGTAAACTCTGGGTAGGAACAATGTATTAGCGGAAGCTTTTATTAAAGAGATTGAACCACCTTGCGCTGGTATGTGAGGGCAAAGTAGATTGATTAAAACAAAGAGATACAAGATTGTTGGGCTGAGATAGCCCCTTAGGATCTTTCAAGGGAGAACTCTGGATGGATAGTGTTGTAATAGCGGAAGCGTTTAACAAAAGTTTGTGAACCACCTTGCGCTGGTATGTGAGGGCAAAGTAGATTGATTATAGCAAGGAAGTACAAGATTATATAATAATACAAGGAATATGAAAGGATGCAGTTTGTAACTACTTTACTGTTGCTGTTGCGGTTCGATACAGTACGACTCGGGCAACTGCTCTGTAACGAGTCGCCACTGGTGGTTGGGTAGCCGCATGCCACGTAACAGTTTGCGCATGGTGTTCTGCAGAGTCCTGTTCATCCTTTCTGCTACACCCTGCTGTTGATGGGCGTAGGGAAGGGAGATGAGTCTCTTGATTCCCTTCTCCGCCAGATACTGCTTGAACCGCTGTGACGAGTATTCTCCTCCTCCGTCTGATTGAAAACTTTTGAGTTTAGCTCCCGATTCCCGTTCTGCTGCTGGAAGCCATGCCACGAAAGCCTCGAAAGCCATGTCGCGACTTGGTAAGTTTAGGTGCCAGACGTAACGTGTAGCGGCGTCGATGAAGGTGATGGTGTAGTTGTACGCGTTTTGTCCGGGTTCGCGGTTGTACAAGATGTCGCTGTACACTTTCTCGAGTGGTGCATATGCAGGTGCGCTTGGGTTGTGATGCGAGACGAAGGGCTGATGCGGTAAGTCGGCTTCGGGGCAGGTGAAGCACGTTCCTCGAGCTCGCTGAAGTTCTCTGCCGTCGATCAGTAAGAGTGAATCCTTGTCAAGTACTCCAGCTCTTATCGTGTTGTTTAATACTGTGTTGCTTGGGTGTCCCATTCTTGCGTGCCAGGTTTCTTCGTTGGCGCGGTGTCCTGGCGAGCGTCGGTATATGTCGGAGTTGGAGTAGAGGCCGGCGATGATGTTCGCGCTTCTATGAACTTCCCGTGGTGCCGGGTTGAGCTGCTGCGCCGGTGTTGGCGGCGTCTCGTCGATGAAGGGCTGTGCCGTTGAGGGACCGGCGACTGGTGTTGATGTTTCTGCTGCTGCTGCTGTTGTCTGTGCTGCTGTCGATGTTGTTTCTGCTGCTGCCAATGTTGTCTCTACTGCTGCCGATGTTGTCTCTGCTGTTGCCGATGTTGTCTCTGCTGCTGCCGATGTTGTCTCTGCTGCTGCCGATGTTGTCTCTGCTGCTGCCGACTGCTGAATTGTCGCCAGCGCCCTTGTTCTTTCTGTTTCAGGGATGGTGTGTGAGTACCAGAAGCCGCTCGGGCTGAAGTCTGGATCAAGATCTGGAGGATGTGTCCAGTCAGTGAAGTTGACGATGGCGTCGCTGTCGGCCGTTCCGAGATCGGGGACGAAGTCAAGAACGAAGACGTTGTTCTTGAGAACCGCCTTGCCGATGTAGAGACCTCCTCTCCCGTGGTACAGCTTGAATTCCTGGGTTGTGCTGTCTGCTTCAAGGTGAATGCCTTTCGCCATCAGTTGACTGACGCTGAGTAAGTTGTAGCCGAGGCCTTCTGCAATTAAAACCTTGGACATCTGTAGAATGACGTTCGTTTCTCGTGACTGAAGTTGAACAACTCCTTGTCGTCGTGTGCGCAGGTTCTGATTGTTGGCGACGGTGATGACCACCTCTCGTTGAAGCTGGTATTCTCGTTGTACGAAGCGTCCTGAGGAGCACATGTGTTGTCCGCAGCAACTGTCCAAGAACCACGTGTCCTTCCCGGATGGCTCGTTTTGGGCTATGGCAGCGTATGTCGGGTTCGGCTGAAGTGACTCGCGGCGTGGTGTCGTTTCGTCGAATTGCTCTTCTGGTGAGTAGTACGGTGGCGATTCTGTGATGCAAGAATCGTTCAGTCTTGCCATGCAGCTAACGATGTTTCTTGCTCCTTGCGCAGGTTGTCCCGTTGGAGTTGTTGAAGATTGGAGCTGGGTCGTTGGATTCGGCTGTGTTGATGCGACTTGATTGCTTGAAGGTCGTAGCTGTCGCTGCGGAGTCGTTGACGGTTGTCGATTCGGGCAGTGTGTGCGCGGGTGTCCTGAAGTCTTGCAGATGTGGCAGAAAGGAGGTACTGGCTTCGGTTGTTGTTGTCGATTGTTGTAATTGTTGTGACGTCGTTGAGTGTGAAACGCGAACTCTGATGTTGTCGTCTTCTTTCTGTGTCGTTCTTCTTGCAGGTCCATGTCCTGCTGCTCAGCGTGGATTTCGGCGCAGAGTGCTGCTTCAGAGATTCTGCCGTGGGCTCGGAGGATAGCTTTGGTGGCGCGCCATTGGGGACCGAGACCACCAATGATGACTGTCACGAAGGCGTCTTCAGAGATTGACCCTCCGCATCGAGAGCTTGGATTGTGATGCGAGACGAACGGCTGATGCGGTAAGTCAGCTTCAGGACAAGTGAAGCACGGGCTCGCTGAAGTTCTCTGCCGTCGGTCAGTAGGAGTGAGTCTTTGTCGAGCACTCCTGCTCTTATCGTGTTGTTTAACACCGTGTTGCTCGGATGTCCCATCATTGCGTGCCAGGTACTTTCGCTGGCGCGATGCCCGGGTGATCATCGGTACATGTCGGAGTTGGAGTAGAAGCTGGCGGTGACGTTGGAGCTTCAGTGGACTTCTCGTCGTGCCGGATTGAGCTGCTGTGCGGGTGTTGGTGGCGTGTCGTCGATGAAGGGTGGTGCCGTTGAAGGACCAGCGACTGGTGTTGACATTTGTTTCTGCTGCTGCCGTTGTTGTCTCTGCTGCTGCCGATGTTGTCTCTGTCGATGTTGTCTCTGCTGCTGCCGAATGTTGAATTGTTGCTAACGCCCTTGTTCTCTCTGCTTCAGGAATGGTGTGTGAGTGCCAGAAGCCGCCAGGGCTGAAGTCTGGATCAAGATCTGGAGGGTGGGTCCAGGAGGTGAAGGTGACGATGCCGTCGCTGTCTGCTGTGCCGAGATCTGGAACAAAATCAAGAACGAAGACGTTGTTCTTCAAGATTGCCTTTCCGATGTAAAGGTCGCCCTTCTCGTGGTACAGCTTGAACTCTTGGGTGGTGCTGTCTGCTTCAAGATGAATACCCTTCGCCATCAACTGGCTGACGCTCAGTAAGTTGTAGCCGAGGCCTTCTGCGATTAAGACCTTGGACATCTGTAGGATGACATTTGTTTCTCGTGACTGAAGTTGTACCACTCCTTGTCGTCGTGTGCGCAGGTTCTGATTGTTGGCGACGGTGATGACTACTTTCCGTTGAAGTTGATACTCTCGCTGCACGAAGCGTCCTGAAGAACACATGTGCTGTCCGCAGCAACTGTCCAAGAACCACGTGTCCTTCCCGGATGGCTCGCTTTGAGCAATAGCTGCGTATGTCGGGTTCGGCTGAAGTGACTCGCGTTGAGTGTGGCGTTGTCGAGCTGTTCTTCCGATGAGTAGTACGGTGGTGACTCGGTGATGCAGGAGTCGCTCAGTCTTGCCATGCAGCTAACGATGTTTCTTGTTCCTTGCGCAGGTTGTCCCGTTGGAGTCGTTGAGGCTTGAATTTGGGTCGTGGGATTTGCTTGCGTTGAGGCGACTTGGTTGCTTAAAGGGCGAAGCTGTCGCTGTGGTGGTGTTGACTGTTGTCGATTCGGGCAGTGCGTGCGCGGGTGTCCTGACGTCTTGCAGATGTGGCAGAACGGAGGTACGGGCTTCGGTTGTTGTCGGTTGTTGTTGTTGTTGTATCGTCGCTGAGTGTGAAAGGCAAACTCCAGTGCTGATGTCTTTCTCTTGTGCCGTTCTTCTTGCAGGTCCATGTCTTGTTGCTCAGCGTGAATTTCCGCGCAAAGTGCTGTCTTAGAGACTCTTCCGCGCGCCATAGAGGACCAAGGCCGCCGATTACGATTGTTACGAAGGCGACTTCGGATATCGACCCTCCGCATCGAAGAAGCTTGTCGCGCAGTTTGCAACACGACTGATACACGCCAATCCTTTCTCGTCTGGTTTCATTTCGACCGTTGTTAACTGCGCCATTAGCCGACTCTGATTAACGTTGTCTGTTGCTTGATACAGGTCCTTCAGATGCTTGTACGCGAGCTCAGCGGAGTTGCCGTAACCCCGGTAA